AACCACATTCTCAACATCTATTTATTTACTAGAAATGCAGCACTAAGAGCTCTTCTTGCTTCTCTTGATATCCTTTGCAATTGTTAACACCAAGTGAAATCTGACATTCCTAACACAATTCAAACATGTCCTCCTTTGTAACCTGTTTTTGCTTTAGTCTCTTGTGGATTGCCTGGTTGCACCAGAGGTCAGTCATAGGTTAACTGGTTAGCTAAGCCAGTCTCCTGGTACATTTACATTTCACAAGTACAGGGGTGAAATGCTCTTGTGTTAAGAATAGGCTGTCCTTAAAGACCTGATGTCTTCCTTAAGCTCATTTTTTCCCACCGAACTACCATTTGCTTTTCTGCATGCTAGGCCTCTCAAACCAAAGCAAATAAATACACAGTGTTTTTCCTAAGGCTTAAACTTTCAAAAGTTAATTACCTGAATATAGGTATTTCCAGGTGCTAACAGCATAGTGACTCCAGTCCTACTGAAAACTTATTTGTCCTATGCAAAAAAATCTCTAGACTTATATTAAAATCCAATGCAACGTAATTAAATCATTGCTACAAGAGTCCTTTACTGTTACATGTGCTTACATACTAGTCACATCTCAGCTTGCTGAAGATTGACTTCAACATTTCCTGCTTCCAAAGCATTGAGCTCATCACATAGCAAGGCAGATGACAGAAACAAGGGTGTGGATCTGAGACCTGTGATTAATGGCAGAGAGTGCTGGTACAAACCAACAAATTTCTGGAGCTTGGAACTGAAAAGTCAGGAACTAAGGATGAGGAGCTCATGTCTATGGTGTCACGGAAGCAACAGGTAAAGTAATTGGTAGGGAATGCAGACTGGAAACCAACTCTTAACATCTTGCTGTCACTACAGCTATACAACTCTTATGGGGATGCTGCTTTCCATCAGTACATGCACAAGCGAACAAGTCTTAAAGGTTTATGGGTCGGAAATGAACCAGGATGGGGTCAAAAAAGTCTACTTTTTTTTTTTTTTTTTTTTTTTTTTTTTTTTTTACCCCAAACAGCACCAGTAAAAGATACTTCAAGAAGAAAAAGAAAAGTTCTATTCTGATCATTACAGTTGCACAATGAGGCTACAAACTTGGAAAAGTTGTTGTTTGATCAGCTTTACGCCCTCCCTCCTTTCTCTTCCCTTATTAATAAGTCTTATCGTACCACAGTAATTGCAGGAATCAATTTATTTTTTTCCCCCCACAGGGCTCATTAATATTTATATTGAGCTTCCAAAGTGCTCCAGTTACACTAACTACTAAAAAAGCATATGAAGTGAATGCAATATATATATGTGAGAGTACACCACAGAGAACAACTAGAAGAGGCATTCAGAATATACAAGAAAATGAATTCAATGAGAACAGCTGCATGGCATATTCTTTTCATTGTTTGGTGTTTGGTTGTTTTTTTTTTTAAACAATGTTTTCTTCAAAATCTTTGTTAGAAAGTGAGTTACGCTGCAGTGCAGAAATGAGATGAAGAAAAGCGTAGAAGGAAAAAACACTGAAAAGACTGAGGATGACTGCTGTAGTACTGAATTAATAGAAGAGTAAAAAGGTTAGGAGGAAGACCAGATGCCAGAGGACAAAAGGTAAATATAATCAGCCTCTGAATTTTAGAGCGCCTACATGCCAGAGGTCATCATGTCTTCTGGCTATCAAATAAGCGAGGTTTTCTGAGTTTGACATCATCCTGGGCTCCTTTCTGCTATCAGAATAGTTTGAAATCCGTGAAGAAGATGGTAGCCTGTTCACTGCAAATTTCTTCCCAGCATTCTTAGTGTAGAATGGGGAAAAAAACCCAAAACAATTAATGAATAGCTTCATTCTATCTTGGAGGATCTTCAAGGCATCCAAGGAAATGATCTATCAAATAAATACAATTGTTGAATGCATATCATAGAAAAAATAAAGTTCCCATCAGATCAAACGTACCTATAGTTTTAAAATATGATATCCCCTACAACTGACACTCAAAATAAACAGAAACACAATAGCAGAAGAAACCACAGCTGGACCTTTCCTGGCTACTACAGTTAGATAACTAAATAGGCTAGCTACTGAATTGTGCCTTACAGAATGACCAGACCGGGTTTCAGATTCTGGATTAAAAGCACAAGGGAAATCTTGGGTCTAACTGTAGTCTAGCTTCCAATGAATGCTACCAGCCAGAACCAAAGCACTCAGACAAAAAATATTATATATTACATATAATGTAATAGAATATAATATTTCTTGTATCTAAAATATAATAATATATATATTAAAATAATCTCAGAAGCTGTTCAAAGTGGTCTCTCTCCACTAAAGTAGCACACCTCTTCCCCAAAAGCAACAGCATCTCTTCTGGCAGAACGCTTTACTTCATCTTTATTATGCAGCTACCTCCTTTACTTTCCTTGATATGCTACAGATTGCTAGAAGTAGCCTCTCTGCTCCCCTGCATTCAATCATCCCTATTTACCCTCCACATTCCGTTAAACAAAATTGTTATTTCAGAAAATTGGAGGCTTTGCTGCATCAGAATTGTTTCTCTTTCTGTCATGCATGTCTGCACACAAATGTTCTTACATCATTAAAATGCATTCCTGAGACTGTTTTCAAAGGCAGTGTCTCCAGTGCAGTGCTTTCTGTGTGCTCCCTAGAAAAAAGGCTTATTGAGCCACTTTCTGTAAAGCCTGATGTTCTAGTCAGCCAACTGCATGCAGCTATTGCTACACACTCTTAGCTTAGAAGGCTTCACTGTACAGTACTTTTACTGCAGCCTCAGCACCATCCTTTGTCAGACCAGAACACCTACCTGTCTCTTTCCTCTCCAACTTGCAATATAACACACCTGAAACTAAGCCCAGGAGTTAAAAACTGCCATAAGTCTCAAGTGCTAGAATCAATATCATCAGCCTCAGCCTGAATATTCTAGCACTGTATTTCCCACAGTATTAGAACTGTTTACAGGTGAAATTATCTGAATAGGCAGTAAAAATATGTACGTGTGTGAGTCCTTGGCACAGTATTAGGGGAAATCAGAGCAACACGGAGGAAGACTGGAACCATGACAAAACTGTTTCTGGTTCCTGCACAGACTTAACTGTGCTCCCAGCTACCATTTTTGCTGCTCCTCAGATCCCAGCTGTAAATGGAGGAGTATGCCTCAGCAGGGTGTTGCAAACATAAGACTGTGATGTTGCACACCTTCAGCAGTAAGCCATGTAAACAGACCAGGTAAGAAGGAACAGTATCTATTCCTGTAAAATAGGATAAAGCATAAGTACCAAACAGGGTGAGGCAGTTGGGGTGGGGAAACAGACCAGACAGGAATGGGGAGATTCCTACCGGGAGTGAGATTCCTGTTTCATACAGGACTCTTGTCTGTTATTGTTTCCTTCTTTCCCAGTCTGCATTAGAAGCAGGAAGGGAAGGAAACGGCAAGTAATTTGTAACACAGTGCGAGACTTGGATTTATCAAATCAGCTTTTGACAACTCTCCTGAACTTCTTAAAACTCTACTTCCTCAGCCAAGAGCACATCTCTCCCCTTCCATTCCAACCACATGGTGCTTGTAGAACTTCACTAATTCCGCAGGTACATCTACTAGAATTTCTCTAATTGTCTTCCCTTTCAGCCCAGTCTTTCTTTCCTTTTTGCTCAGCCTTACTAATATTCTTCTTTACTTCTCCAAACATGTCTTTTCTATTAAGGAGGAAATCCTAATTAATCTCCTCCCTGTGAGTTCTTTAAAAACTGCTACTGTATAGCATTTAATAATAAATGAGTAACATGGCTTAGTCCTCGAGATTTGCTAATCAAACAGAAAACAAAGATTTCTGGCATCATAGTGGCAAATAATAAAATATAAAAAGATTAGGAGATAGAAGCTAGATTAGCTTTCTGAAAGCAGATTCCAAGAAAGGCCTTTTTTATCATTGCACAAGGTTTTGTGCTCTTTTCATCCCACACAAGCCTGTGATCAGGAAACACCCATACCAAGGCAGACACCTAAAGCCAGACAATCGTTAAGCTTGACACTGGGTGTGCCTTCATTAGCAGTGCTAGGTGCGTGAGAGCTCCATTTATAAAAGATATAGGATAGCAGTTTACTTGTAAAATAGCGAAGCCCTTGCCACACTTCTTGCCTAAAGCTTTCAACAGGCTCTGAACAGAGATGATCAGGTGAGCACTGAGGCTCCTGAAGTAACTTCTCCATTCGCCTTTAACCATCACACCATGCTGTAAAGCCAACCTCTCCCTAATCGCTACAAGAGTTCCTATTAATGACAACAAGATGCAGAATTGGGATGCTTTAAGACAGATTCCCAAGCAGATTAGGTACTGCAGAAAGGTACTTACATTCAAGAACTAGGCTCTTCTGGCAAAGGAATATCTTTGGTTTTGTGATTTTTTCTTAGAGATGCGATACACCAACTGTTCTACAAAATGCTCACGTAAATGAGAAGTGTTGATTTGAATGAAAACAGCTTGAGAAAAGAGACTTAGATTTTAAGCTGTAAAAGGCTGTAAAGCAGACATCAGTGAGGCAGGTATTAAATCAACCATGCAGCAACATACACATCAGGAAGACAGCTTCTCCTGCCTACATTTTTTTGGTTATATTTGTACAACAATAAATCTCTCTTTGAAAACCTCTCTACACACACTCAGCTTCCCACTGGTGATTTGTGCATTGCAATAGTGAACTCCAGAATCGATTAAGATTTAAAAGGAAACTGCTCCCTCTCAGATTGTTGTCCCTGATACAAACTAGAGAGTAGTTAATAAAATAAGTTGCATGAGCATTCACAACTTTTACTGCCGTTTAGGATAATAAAAAATATGCAGTATCACATCCTGAGATTACAAGAGTTAGCACGCAAGCCAATGCCATACCACCTGTGCAATGGAGACCAAAGCCTTCATAAAACTACCTTAATGAGCAACGTTGTGACTATTTTCAGAACTGAGACAGTGAGTAGCCAAATCTTACCTTAACTCCTTTGGTAATTCCATTTTTCTTACAGACTCCACTTTTTAAGACGTTATTCTGTTTCTGATGGTGATGATGATGTAGATGTCCATTACAGACAGCACTGGGATTAGCCATCTGTTTAAATTAGTCAGATTCTCAGTTCTTAAGGGTGTCTTGGGTCTTTCTACAGTACAAAAGACAGTGGGATGAACAGATAAAGTCCTTAGTTAAGGCCTGAAAGGTATCCAACTGGTCTGTCAGGATTTTCCAGGATGAGAGGAGGAACTATCTTTTGCAATATCTCAGAAACTTAGAACTCCTTCTTCCATACACCTTCAGTTCCAGCAACCTAGAATGGAAAATGCATAGCAGAAGGTGTACTCTTAGAATCTCTGAAAAACACTGCTCATTGTCGGCTATTGTATGAACACAGCTTTTATGAGTCAACAAGACTGCTGCAGCTATCAAGAAGTGGGTGGACTCAGAGGCGGAGACACTTAAAGATATATTACCTCCAAATACCTCCCAGTGAGGAACATTACACTTTTTTTCCTCTCTATTACACTCCATACAGAGCTATATTACTCCATTTAAGGCAAAGTAATACAATGTTTTGAAAAATTAAACAAAATAATTTGTTAATTTGCAAGCTTCATCTTACGAAGAGTATGCTAGCTGAAAAAATGTAGTGTTTACTGAGTAGAACAGAACACTCCTTTTTTTCCTGTTATTTTAAATCTCTTATAGGCAGTAATAGACACAAAATTAACCTTCCAAGGAAATGGAAAGCATTTCAGTATAAAAATGAAATCTTTACTTAGAACTAGAAACAATTTCTTTGGCTCCATCTTACAGATACATGCACGGGTCTTTACCATGGTGAAGTGGCCCTTTAAACTCAGTTTGGCATGCATTATGTGAAATTCCATGCTATTACAATCAGTAAGAACCTGATTTTTATAAAGTACATCAATTTAGGTTTATTATTGTACTTCAGATTTTAGTGGCAAAGCATAAAAGTAAAGGTGTTCCTGGCAACATGTGATAGAATTCCTTCCTCCAAAAATAATTAAAATTAGCATGGAGACAGATTAAAGGAAAGCTATACAATAATATCCATTTTGGAAAACAGTAAGGATAAAAGGTTAGGAGAGTAAAAATATGTGGAGTGTTTTAATTAGAAAAAAAACAAAAACCTATGTTATCTTGGAAACGAAACGTAAGAAATATATAGAAAATGCAGCCTAAAACTGGAGTACAAGATGGAGGAGATTAAATACTACATGAGCACTGAGAAAATACACAAAAAAACCACATTGCATTGACTTTGCAAACTTGTTTTAGCCATGTATTGAACTGCTAAAATATATTCTTCCTTTGAAGGTTTGCAAAGTAGGATGCCTGCATAGGTTGAGACCAAAGCATGCTAACGTAACACAGACCTGATCTGAACTGCATTTAAAAGGAATATGTGTGTATTTATTTCTTCTTCATTATGGTTGTTTCATATCACTGTCTGATTTGCTGAGTTTTCCATTAAGATGTGTAGATAACCTCCACAATACATTACCTCGTAGCACTTCAGTTGTGAGGAAATCCATCCTTTACTAGGTTTGATTTTGATCTCCTTGGAAAGAAGACTTCTACTTACATATCCCAATTAAATTGAGAACTGACTGACTGGCAGAGCTCAGAGGTTACCATCAGTGGTGCAGAGTCTGGTTGGAACCCTTTAAGTACCTCTGTTCTTGGTCCAGTCTTGTTCAACATCTTCATCAACAAAGTGAATGAAGGGATAGAATCCACCCTCAGCAAATTCATTGGTGATACAAAGCTGGGAGGATTGGCTGATACATCTGAAGGCTGTGCTACCATTCAACAAGATCTGGACAGACTGGAGAGTTGGGCAGAGAGGAAGGTTTAACATGAGCAAGTGTAGAGAGTCTTGCACCTGGGCAGGAATAACCACATGAATTAGTACAGATTAGGGGCTGACCTGCTGGAAAGGAGCTCTGTGGAGAAGGACCCGAGGGTCCTGGTGGGCAACAGGTTGGCCATGAGCCAACAATGTGCCCTTGTGGCCAAGAGGACCAATGGTATCCTAGGGTCCATTAAGAAGAATGTGGCTAGCAGGTTGAGGGAGGATATCCTACCCCTCTACTCTGCCCTCCTGAGGCCATATTTAGACTACCATGTCCAGTTCTGAGCTTCCAAGTTCAAAAAAGACAGGGATCTCCTCAAAGGAATCCAGCGGGGGATCTGAAAGATGGTAAAGGGTCTGGAGCATCTCCCATATGAGGAAGGGCTGAACCTGGGTCTGAGCTTGGGGAAAAGAAGACTAAGAAGGGATCTGATTAATGTTTATAAATATCTAAAATGGAGGTGGAAGGCAAATGGTTGAGGCCAGGCTCTTCTTGGTGATGTGCAGTGATAGGACAAGGAGTAATGGCCTAAAACTTGAACATAGGAAGTTCCATACTAACATGCAGAACTTCTTTATAGTAAGGGTGCCAGAGCACTGGAACAGGTTGCCCAGAGAAGTTGTGGAGTCCCTTTCCATGGAGATATTCAAGACCTATCTGGATGCCTACCTGTGTGAACTATTGGAGGGAACCTGCATTAGCAGTGGGGTTGGACTCAGTGATCTCTTGAGATTCTGTGACTCTGTGGTTGTGAATATGTAGTGATAAGATCAATTGCAAGTCATACTAACTGGCGAGAAGTTCATATTTGCAAGGAAAAGAAAGAGATGAGAAAAGCCCAGCATTAAATAGAATAGTCAATAATATTTTACTGCACATCTGTCACTGATGAGGCCTTGATAAATGAAACAAGATAACACAGGAGAATGCTCTCAGCACCTAGCAATCCATTCCCATCAAGAAGCATTATTCATCTAGGAATTAGTTCCTTGGCTTTCATGGCATAACATTCCATTTGCTTAGACTGTTACTGTTCATTTTGCCTGTGCTATCATAAAGGTAAAACAAGAAAAAATGCCAAAGTAGAGGTTCAGCTTCTTGGCAGATTCCAGTAACTCACCTGGCAGAACTGCTAGCTATACTTCCCAACAGACTGAGTACCTTCCAGGGCACAAAGTGATAGTGATATTATCAACATTATTATTAACAACATGTATGTCTTCTTCTTATTATTATTTTCATTCAGTTTTATGTGGCAGGGAGGAAATTGCTGATTAGATAACAAATCATGCAATTCTGTCTCTAATCACAGACTATTACAGTCTGTATTTGTTATTCATTTCAAGACCCATGAACAAAGTCCTTTTGTATGAATACAGTAGTAAATTAAATATGCTATATGTTTATATACTATATGTTTAGTTTTCAACATGTCTGACACATTGACTGCAAACAGACGGAAGTAAAAAAAAGACACAACATTTAAATGCGAATTTAAATAAGCAATTTTAAAAACCACAGAGAACAGCTGTCCTTGTAGACTTTTTCTAACTATATTCTAATAGCCAAAGCTCTCAAAACAAGTACCACTAGGGGATGCGTAGATTTCCTGCCTTGGCTCTATTTGGAGCAAGTGTTTTATAGAAGGGATGAGTCTGGCCAGACAAACATATTTGATCTGTAAACAGGATGTGGTACTGCTTCTGGAAAATAGAATGTTAAATTGGGCCCTTCAGAAACCCTGTCCTACTCAAAGCCGTCTGTTACTCAGGCTTCTACATCCATTTCTATCATGCTGCTTCTTAGCTAAGAAGCACCTAATCTATTATTAGCACCTAAATCTATTATTTAAATATATGGGAGTCTCTCCTGCTGACACTGAAGGAGAGACTCGATAATTGTGTATTACAGAACATCAAAACCACAAACACACACTTACACACTTTCTCTTTTTACCATTTTGTAAAGTGGAAGGAAAAAATTCACTATGTTAACTGTAAAAAAAACTGTGCGTATTTTAACTGCAGGGAATCCTAATCCAATGTGCTTCATTTTACTAGCTTGGGTACTGGTTAGAAGTAAAAGTTTATCTTTGAACACTGTCAAAAAAATGATGAATTCCTAAGGCTAGTAGCAGATCACGTGTCCCACAGAGACATTAGCTAAGTTTGTAAGATACCTACCATTACAAAAGTACAATGCTGCAAGAACATATGAGAACCAAATGTAAACTGTAATTCAGAAGGATTCCACAGGATTCCCGTTCATCTTAGAGAAAAGTTAGTTATGAAATGGTCTTGCAATCTAGTTGCAAGATTGATAATTCCAGTTCATGACAGGTGCAAATTTACATGCCACAAGAAACAATAATGGCCTACACAAAGACACCTACAAGCTTTATGCTTAACTTTACAGGACAAATAACAAATGGGAGATGAAAAAAACTGGGACATCAAACTCATGGTTTTCACAGTATTTCAATTAACAGCAGAGTATGCCCCAGTGGTGGAGTACAGAACTACAAAGCCTTCCTGCTATCCTGATCACTTCTCTTACAACAGAAGTCCATGGTATTACATCTATGTACCACTGAAGACTTATTCTCAAACTAGCATCCCAGGATGTTCAGTTTGGTATCTGTGAGTCATAAATACCTGAAACAATTTCTGCCTCAGATATGTTCATAAAATCTCTGTATAGTAACCAGTGAAGCTGAAATAAATGAACAAATAGTAAGATACTAGAGCAAAAAACAACATAAGCAATAGCAAATGCCATATAGCAGCTGGTCAGTCATCTTATTTGGTGTCTTTCCAGATTCATTCAGAATTCACTGGCTGAAGGCTAAACTTCCAAAACATTCAGATAGAAGAATCCCATATCCATATTTGCTGCTTTAAACCTTATCTATCCGATATATCTGTGGAAATGGGCACGGACGTCACCCTACACTTTGGTGTAAAACTGCACATAACTGTTAAAGGATCTCCTGAAGTGCTTTTGCACAACTACCCCCTGAAGGACATATAAAACTGGTTCCAGAAATAATCTTAGAGCATAGAATCATAGAATATCCTGAGTTGGGAAGGATCCATTTTAGAACTAAGGCCCACAGTTCAAGCAGGTGCACCCAACCAGCACTGCAACAGAGGACACAGTACAACAGGCAGGGCTCTTCTACAGCAACACTCCCACCTAGCTTGCATAACCTGGATGCCAGCCATATGCAGGCTGTGCTGAGTCAGCTGCAGGGCTACATCCCTGCAGAGATGAGGCAGCTCCATGAGCCTTAAGGGATCCAATCCCAAAGTGGCCAGGAGTACAGCCTGAAAAATTAGGCAGGGGCAAAACAGGCCTGAGTTGAAGTAGTGTAGAGTACCTAACTGAGAGGCTGCTTGGAAGAGTAGCCCCAGGGAAATTCCAGAAG